CAGGAGGTCTCTCTCTCTCTCTCTCTCTCTCTCTCTCTCTCTCTCTCTCTCTCTCTCTCTCAGGGGATGGTGGGGGGTAGGGGGAGGTAACACATGATTCAATACCCCCTTAATAAAGATACCCATTTGGAGCCTCAAACACGAAGGGAAGATTTAAAGTGACATTAATTCTCCTTGACGTAAATAAATGCGTCGAGCTCTTGGGTGATACGGAGATGTCGGATGGTGCCAAGGTCAGACAATACCCAGATTGAACAAGACTGAGTGAGGATACGAAGGTGATCAGAGATGTCACATGATAACAGATGATATTGCAAGGCGGTCAAGTAAAGGTAAGATAACGCGTGAGTTGAGTAATATCAGCGAGCGATACGTGAGTCAGTTGGATGAAGACGATAGTCGTAATAAATCTTAGTGGCGTCGCTGAAACCATGGGGAACTAGATGGCTGAGAATTTCCCCCTTAACGTGATGGGAGAACGTCTCTATGTAGTATGCTGTTGTGGCCGCCATCTTTGTGTCGTAACTTCATGTAGATAAGCGTACGAGTGTAAATATAGATATTGTCGTAAGGGAAGAGATCTGCCTGGTTACGTTCTCACACAATCAGCTTATCACGTTCTCACACCATCAGCCAATCACGTCCTCACACCATCAGCCAATCACGTCCTCACACCATCAGCTTATCACGTTCTCACACCATCAGCTTATCACGTTCTCACACCATCAGCTTATCACGTCATCACACCATCAGCCAATCACGTCATCACACCATCAGCCAATCACGTTCTCACACCATCAGCCAATCACGTTCTCACACCATCAGCCAATCACGTCCTCACACCATCAACCAATCACGTTCTCACACCATCAGCTTATCACGTCCTTACACCATCAGCCAATCACGTTCTCACACCATCAGCCAATCACGTTCTCACACCATCAGCCAATCACGTCATCACACCATCAGCTTATCACGTTCTCACACCATCAACCAATCACGTTCTCACACCATCAGCCAATCACGTTCTCACACCACAAGCCCACCAGGAGAAAAAAAATAAACATATTAAGCTTTAAGTATAATTTATCGTATACGTCTGTTTGTCTGTGTGGTAGGCCTACAGTAAGTCAGGTAGATGCGCACTCACGCCTCCAGTTAGAGGTAAGATTAATGTTGACAGGTGGACAGGTAGTTGGTCCCCTACTGAGTCTAGTCGTAATCTGACACTCAAAGGACAGAGGATTTCTGGTGGTGTTCCCGTGATGGACACCCGAATTTACTTTTTTTTCATGTGATTCGAAAAAGAAAAATATATAACTTATGAATGAATAAATGGATGTAAAAAGTTTGGCGTAGGAAAATAATTACATACTACCAAGGAGAGACATTCTGGGAGGCGGGATTGAAGTTTCTAGATCGTAGACATCAATAAGCAGTTTTAATGTGAATTGTCATATTTAAAAGCTTTTCAATTAAATTAGTTCGATAAGGAGAGTACTTGTAAAACTGCTAAGTGCACAAAAAAACATTGATATTAAACACAGTACAGTAGTTCAATATACAATTTAGCATGACCCGTATTTATGTGATAAAATATAAGTGAAGTTCATGCAAAGATCTTTTAAACAACAGCAATTAAAGGAAAACAAAATAATCCCCAGCTACACTACACACCCATAAAAGACGATGTTGTTAGACCAAAAGACTGTATGTTCATTTACTGAGTTAAAATAAACAAATACCTCCATCAAGTGTAAATCCGGTTTCCATCGTAATCTTAATATAAACACGCCGAGCCATGTTGTAAAGTTAAAGAACACGACCGCAACTCGATTTTGTTTACCGCAACTCGATTTTGTTTACCGCAACTCGATTTTGTTTATCGCAACTCAATTTTGTTTTTCTAAGCGACACGTAACAAGCCAAACTTAAATAATTCTAAGATGATTTTGGTTTGATTATGTTAGATTATAGGTTAGTTCATGTCGTTAAAAAAATAAGCTGGTCGCCTTTACTCTTTTTCGTCTATCCTCTGGTTCTGCTGTTCTGTCAATCTTGCCACGTAAGAATCTATCAAGATTTTCTTTCTTAAATATTTTTCTTCAATAATCTTAAGAACATCCATCCTGTTCTTTCATCCTTACAACATTACCAGGAACGATTGTATTAGTTATTTGTTTTATCATTTATGGATTAATCTTCCTACCAGCATATTCGTAGAACTCAAGAGTATAACTTTCCCTTCAATTTTCTGGTCACACTTTGAACTGTTGGAGAGAATAACGAAAACAATACGACAATAGACCGACATAATGGCTAGGATACACACACCAAGTCTAACGTTTCAGTAGACGATCAGCGACGGCGGGAGGAAACATCCAATTTATCTGTTAAGTAAAATATAAATTTCAAACTCCTAGAATCTCAGACGATGAAACGTTATTCATGTTATTATTTTTATCGTTGTTGTCATCATCTTTATGTATGTTAGTTTAAGTGAATCGTTTAAACAGGGTAGTCTTGAGAACTGAGGCTTTCACAACACGCTGAAATATGCAGGAAAAAAAGGGAAGATTGTAAAGACAAGTCTGGCGCCATGAGGGTTGGAATCATTTATCTTTATAAGGCTTCTACTGTTTGTTGTTACTTATACTATAGTTATTACGGCCAATTGCAAGAACGGTTATGGGGTGTACGACGCCATTTACGATGACCTTCTTGCCCTGGTGTTTTTCAGCAATATCGCCTTTAACACATGGAATACTTCACTTTTCGAAGCTTTGGGGGAGTCTCGAAACAAGTTTCCTGGTGGGAATTATTAGCTAGTGCTGTACTCAAAATATCGAAACTTCGAGATCTCCACGGCAGGAGTATATATAGTTGTTGTTACAAAACTGGCACTAAATGGCACTAAAATGACGCTAAACTGGCACTATGACACTAAAAACTAAAATGACACTAAAATAACACTAAAATGAAACTATAATGGTACTATATAAAACTTAAACTAAAATAACACTGAAAGTACACTAAAATATCACTAAAATGTTAGCTCAAAATGCTGTAACTAACAAGGTAAAAATAGTCTTCTATGAAAAAGAAATCAACTCCGGAAGGAAAGATTAAGTTGCGTTCTTATTTTAACATTGTGTAGTGAAGCTTGATGTTGTTTATGACGTCACGTCCGTGGATCCTGGCGTACTTGAAATCTTCTCATTATTAAAATCTTCAAGTTCAAGTTGACTATTATTAAACATATTTCTAGTAGCTTTTTTAATGCGTAATATTTATCTTCATGGATTTTTAACCATTTATGAGATTTTTAATGATGTATAATTTCATAAAATATCAACTTACGAAAACCAGAAAATACCCAGCTTACGACATATTCAAAAAGAATTTCATTAACACATTATTCCTGAAACATCTTTCCCTCCCTATGACGAGTTAAACAAGCAGGCTATTGTTCTGGGTAAGCCTTAATCTATACAACAAGCAGTGTTTAATGCGTCGTAACACTATCCCCGTGACGCAGTATACCAAGACGCTTGCATACTTGAGCGCGGGGGAACGCTTCAAGGTCCGAGAGTGTGGACACAAATTGGTCAGTGTTTTCCGAGAGTTGGGATACTGGTCTTCCCTCAGGTTTTCTATATCCTTCTACTAGTACAAAGAAGGTGAAAATGGCGTCAAAATTCCACCGAGACTTGACTAGAACTATATAGCTTTTTGGCCCTATTTGAGGTGAATACTACATCAACGATACGAATCTAGGTGCATCTGGAGTCTAATCTCTTACCAAAACAAATCAAAGAAAAGGTTTAGATGTTAGAATTCCCTAAACTCAATCCTCTTACGGAATACGAAATCACATCAAGTTACGTACAATAGAAGCACAGTTAAACATCGATGCCATATTGACAGACATGCTTGTGTGTGTCTGTGAGCTATACCCTATCGTATTATTATTATGAGAAAATAATGAACGTAGGATGTTCTCTGAGGATTCGACTTTATGCTGGGTGGGATAGAACGTTTCCAAGGAGAAGAAGAAGTAGCGTTTGTCGTGTTGGCGATAGTCCAGTAGGGAGAGGCGGGGGGGGAGGAGTCTGTTTAGGTAGTGGTGTTTGTGGTGGTGAAACTGAGCTGTGGCGGGAGTGACAACTTGATGATGGAGTCGTCTTTCGCTTTTACTTGATTGTGTGCGCTCTCTCTCTCTCTCTCTCTCTCTCTCTCTCTCTCTCTCTCTCTCTCATCCACTTTCTGTTTGTATGTCTGTCCTTACCTAACGTCAACCTAACCTAACGTACCCTGATCTGACCTAACCTGACCCAGCCTACCCCTAGTTCCTCCAGGTAGCGATAGGGACCTCAAATATTAAGTTCTCTCTGATAAGGACATTATCTAAGACGACCTCGTTGTGTGCGTCAGAGGCTAAGAAGAACACTCGAACTCTCTACCCCTGTATGTCAAGAGCTCTACCCCTGTATGTCAAGAGCTCTACCCCTGTATGTCAAGAGCTCTACCCCTGTATGTCAAGAGCTCTACCCCTGTATGTCAAGAGCTATACCAAGATCCCAAGTTATCAAGGAACACTTAAACCTGACCTACATAACAAAAATTTTTAAATAAGTTTTTTCTTTGTCAGTATTAAACCCATCGGACAAGTTTCATCATAATCAGTAAACTCATATTTTGTTTACGCACACACACACACACACACACACACACACACACACACACACTAAATAACATTGAAACATTAGCTACAGAAAAAATCACCTATAAATTACTGGATCTCTATCACACACTGAACATTAAACAGAGAGAGACAGAAATAACCCCTGGGGCACCCTGTCCACCTGTCCTGAGAACAACAGAACCTCAACGGACACCGACCTGTATTAAAGGACAAGGATCAAGAACCTACAAGAACTAGACACTAACGGAGGACATTCATTCAAAGCGAAGACAAAAAACACTGCAAGAGAACTTACCTGTCAAGTAGAGGAATATGTCGAAGGCCATCCGACACACCCTCGTGGAGAAACACCTCATGACGCTGTTCTGCTCCTGCCGGACCCCTCTGAAACCAACTAAGGTCCTTGCCCCCAGGAGAAACTCTGTTGAATCCTCGCCTGCCGTGGCTCCTGTTGTTCAGTTCTTCCTGGGGGTATTGACGAGCTCTGATACACGAGATCTTTTTCTTCTTCCTCTTCAGTGACCGAGTTTTATCTAGTAGTCGCCTTCGTCTTGTTCCTCGTCTCAGAAATCAGATGTTCCTCCGACTAAAAGATCAAGTGAAGGTTCCCACTATAAATTTTCCTCCTTATACCATAGTTTCTATCCACCTTGGCATTATCTCTCAGAAATTACCTTCTTGACTATACTTAACTTTATACAACTCTTTTTTTTTTTACTTTCTTGGGTATTTTCTTTGACAATTCATAGGAACTTTCTCTGTTATATGTCCAATCAAGAGAACTCACTAATTCACCAGGCTATTTCCACTCAGACTCTGGTACTTCACACGACGGACAACAAGAGTTATCCCAACACTCACGCCCAATACTCTGATGACGCTGTTGATCCACCGATGAAATTATCTTAATATTTCCATCTGTTGTGTTTACTCAAGATCACTTCCCTGGACACAGACCTTCACAGAAATCTCCGACAGGCTGATAGCGTTTTTCACAGCAGCGTCCAGGGTAAACGGCATTCACAGCGGCCCTAAACAGCGACCACCACAGCGCCAAGAAGATAGCTCGGCTCTTCACTGTTTAGCTTTCAACACCCTGGTAGTCCTCACAGTGTTTACGTCGGCCTGGGCCAGAGTCCACATACGTTCTGTGAATGGGAAAAAAGAAAATCTATTACACCCTTACTATAGTGGCTGCAGTACGTCACGTCACTTCCTCATCCTGTCCGGTTTGTTGACATATACGCTTAATTGTACTCATAGTTTTTCGTTCGCTGTGGCTTTGTTTTTATCTTTCTTTGTTAGGTGTTATCGTAGGTGTACTGTATTTATTATTGTTTTATGTTTTTGTTGGTATTTTTGTTATGGGTACCAATTTACTACGATGACTTAACCGCTAGAGTAAAATACCTAACCCTTTGAGTACGATGACAGCCCCTTGAATATGACGAACTAGATTTTGAAGTTTATTTTAAATCAAAACTTTTATGGTACTTTAAATTCGAAATTATTACGGATTAGCTGATAATATTTGAAAAGTATTAAATTCAAAACCAATTTAAGTACCATTTCATTAAGGTACTGTACTCTATAATATTTCTAAACGTGAATTTATAATAATGGTCCTTCGTATAGTTCTAGGTCACAATGTTACAGGTACCACACCGGATGTTGGTTCCACACACACGACCACCGCGCTGAGTCAATACGTTATGACCTCATCAGTGAATAACTTAGTGAGTCACTGAGTTAGTCAGTTGGTGGAATCAGTATAAACACATCTGCGAAACAACAGTCAAGTTTATTTATTGAAGGATAAGTTACTCAGCAAAGTCAATAACACCAAACACGTAAAGTCTCAGTAAAGTCAGTCAAGATATTTAAGTAAAATCGAAGTAAAGTCGAGAAATCAGTGAAGAGAATTTGTGAATAAAATTATAAAGTTAAGTAAGTGAAGATCCTCGGTATAAAGTACAGTACGGTATACAGGGTAAGCGGATATATGTACAGTATATACAGGTTGAGTAAGAGCAGTCTGTGTAGGGGGCTTACAGGGACAGGAAGTAGTATATGACTGGTTTGAGTACCGGTAATAATAATAATAATAATAATAATAATAATAATAATAATAATAATAAATAACGTCTACATGCACACATAAACCAGTTCATCTCAAAACACCAAAAAACGAAAAACAGAAACACAAAACCATTTCAAAACTGTATCACAAAAAACACGTAATAAAGATACTGTGTTGCCTCGCGTGTATCAGTCAACCAAGGCCTCAACACCAAACTCCAGAGGCCCTCAATGTAAATACTCCCTCCTTGTGTCACGCCTGGCCCTTGAACTCGATAGGCTCTTGGGTGAGATGGATGGATGGATGATAGTCAAATGGATCCTGGAATCTATTAAGGTTCATTATACTAATTCAAGGTTTAGATTTTTACAGGTTTAGTGTTATCATCATCATCATCATTATTATTATTATTATTCGAAACAACAGGGTATGAGTGAGGGTGTCTTGTCGGCTCACACATACTCTGACGGCCAATGAGCTTGCTGTTGTGGTGATGATAAACATAATGTAGTGTCTTATACTGCATATTATTACTATATAAAAGTCAACACACATACACGCAATGTGAGTGAGGTGAAGTTTGGTTGTTGGCGTGTGGTGGTGGTGGTGTGTGGTGGTGCATGGCGTTTGATGGTGGTGGTAGTTACGCAGTCTGACACGAGAGGTCACTGCGCTCGTTAACGTCAGTAGTTATAGCAAGAGCGAATCATTTGGTTCCTGACCATAAGACCTCGCTAGCTATAGGGTGTGGTAGTTGCGTTGGGAGGCACAGGTCCACACATACACACACACATTGAACCTTACAATGTGTTCTGAAGTGAATTATGAGGAGAACCCTTTCTGAATAACCTCTACACACACACACACACACACACACACAGTATACATATAGCGTCATTTTTTATTCATGACTGTATGTGTAGTTGTTAGCAGACATAAGTATTTACATATTCATGGTCGGTTAAGTGGACGAGTCGGTGGTAAAGACTGGCTGAGTTGTCCCCCTTCAGTGTTGGATGTGAGGTTAGAGAGGGGTCATCATCCCCCCCCCCCAGCTTATTTCATCTGAAGATTCACCCCAGCTTATTTTACTTGAAGATTCACCCCCAGCTTATTTCACCTGAAGATTCACCCCCAGCTTATTTTACGTGAAGATTCACCCCCAGCTTATTTCACCTGAAGATTCACCCCCAGCTTATTTTACCTGAAAATTAACTACCCAAAAGCTACCTGGTTTTGGGTGGGATATGGTAGGTTAAGTTTGGTTAAGTAGTTAATCATCAGGTGAAATAAGCTGGGGGCGAATCATCAGGTAAAATAAACTCGAATCATCAGGTGAACCCATTGATGTGATCTACGTACGGAATCTATTGCTTTAATGATCTTGCTAAGTAATTAATTAAGCACTAAGGGTGTGTGATCTGTATTCCTAACCTTGCACAGTATTAACATGGAAATCCCACAGTAGGAAAATGAGCACGGAAAAAATTGGAGTTCTTTATAACCCAATCATAACACCGGGAACTCTTAAGCAATCAAAATATATAGAGTGATCTCGTATTGCTTCACTGTTTATCTTATCTTTTCGAATAGACGGAATTTGTGGTATTATGTAATTTCTTAAGTAAAAAAAAAGGGGGGGGGAATTGTTTGTCTATGTTTTGTGTTGATAACTCCTGAGGTTGAAGGTTATCTTAAAATATTATATCATAACTATTGTGGAGTATCAGAGGTCGTTTTACCTTCTGGGGTCATGTCAGGTCAATTTCCCTCATAATGTCACCATCCCTCTCCACACACACACACACACACACACCTCTCTAATTCTACTCGTAGTTTAGAAAGCCAGAGTAGCGAGACGGAAAAGCACAATCAGGGAATAATGTCACCACTTACCCGTGATAACATAACCACTTAAGTTCACACCCTCAAGTGTTCCTCAAGACACACGCACACAAATGTTGGTTCTGCTTTCTGTCTTCATTTGATACACCATTTTAGAACATTTTACCGAGATCCATGACGTGGGATTTTTTTTATCTAATGGAGGTGAATGACACTTGGATAATGCTGTATAATGATGTATAATATTGTATACTTCCTATTCATCATCTCTGTGTTGACATAAGCTTACGAGGTATGTGGGTTAGTGTGGTCAGTATAATAATGGGTTGATTCTCACGCTATGATAGAACATAACTTCTCGTGTTATTTTTCAGAGTTTCTAAAGCACCATCTTGTAGGGTCAGGTTAGAAGTAAAATTCCCTTTACAGTCTAACTTGTTGACACTTGAGGTGAAAGCAAGGCAACTAATAATACCAGGTGGGGGAGGGGGGGGGCAGTAGATGGGGGACCTATAACTACCCCCCTTCTTAAGCTCTTCCCCTCCCCTCTTTCCGCCCTATTATAGTCGTCAGGGACCACAAACGCACCCTCCTGTACCTTAGGGTGGGCAGCTCAAGACAGGCCGACCCCTTCCTTCTGACCCTCTTGTTACCCGTGGGAAAGACCTATGGGGGTGAGGGGTGAGGGTAAGAGTTTAAGGTGACGGGGGGTAGAGTTCACCTCCTCCCACCTGTCAAGCTATTCCTCGAGGTGGATGGATAACCTGATGATTAAGCACCCCATCTAATTTCACCTGTTAAAGACCCCACTGCTACATGAGGGACTAGATCAGGTGAGTGTATAGGTGAAATAAGTTGGGGGGGGGGGGGTAATCCTCACGTGATCCAGCATAAGTGGTCATTATATTCTGACTGATCCAGGTGTGATGAGTGAGGAAACTATCAAGATGGGTAGGTGAGGGATGGGGAACATCTTCTACCTTTCCATCTACCTAGGTTGGGGTAGACCTATGGAGGGGGGGTGTTCGGGGGGGTGGTCAGACAAACACCGGACGAGGGCCTGTGGACTTCCTCGGTCAGCGTGGAGGGTGAGTGGCAGCTACCGGGCCCACACCCTCAAGGTCACCTTTATGAATGACTCTCGGCCCTGCCTGCGGTCACCCGGGGCATGGCAACACTGCGTCAACTCCGCCACGCCGCCGTAGTTGGTAACACTTCCGGGGTGAGACGTGACAGCTTGTTATTGTCACGGCGTAGTTGGTTATGCTTCCGTTTTCTTTTACTCACGGCGTAGATGGTGACTTTTCCTACTTCCGACTTACGATAATTATCAACAAGTCATCGGTTATTGCAACATGTATTGGGTATAAGTGTTCGGTCATTACTCCACGTTATGGGATATTCCCTGGTAGTAATAAGTTGTTACTATTCAACATCAAGAAATATGTCAAAAAAGTTTTATGTAGAGTTAACCGCAAGTTCCTGTGACTAATAATAAGGTTTACCTGGAGATTAACCACCCTAACGTTACCTTGGGGGGCTAGGTTAGTCTTCAGGTGAAATAGGCTGGTGGGACTATTCTTCAAGTACCGGGTGAAGGGTCTTCAGCATAAGACGACTCCAGGCAGGAACAAAGATGTCGGTCGCTTCCTTCACTGAACTTCAGTATGCAGACGACCTCACACTCGTCGCTCACACTGACCTACAGGAGATCCTGAGCACCCGCGCAGATGCGTATGCACACTTCGGCCTTGAGGTAAATACACGTAAGACTCAGATTCTCTTTCAGTCTGCCCCTGGTTCAGCCACACCTCCACCACCCATATAAGCTTAACGGTACTACCCTTTCTAATGTTACCCACTTTCGGTATCTCGGCTCCCACCTGTCCACCACTGCGGACGTCGATGAAGAGATTCAACATCGGATCAGATGTGCATCTCAGCCTTTGGCAGACTCCATACTCGTGTCTTCAGCTGTAGGGAGCTGAAATTATACAAAGTTGCACGTATATCGAACAGTGGTCCTCCCCACCCTGCTATAAGGCAGCGAGACATGGGTCACATACAGGAGGCACCTCAAGGCACTTGAAAACTTTCACCAACGTAGTCTACGTTCCATCCTCCGAGTTCGCTGAGAAGACAAGAGAACAACTGCCAGTATTCTTGCTGACGCCAACTGTAGGAGCATCGAGGCTACCATTATCCAGGAACAACTACGTTGGA